TGAATGTCATACGGCAAGTTTGTTTGTTTGTTTGGTAGTAAATTCGCACAAAGCTACACGAGGGCTATCTGCGCTAGCCGTCCCTAACTTAGCAGTGTAAGACTAGAGGGAAGGAAGACAGCTAGTCATCGCCACCCACCGCCAACTCTTGGGCTACTCTTTTACCGACGAATAGTGGGATTGATAACGAATAGTGGGATTGATCGTCATATTATAACGCCCCCACGGCTAAAAGGGCGAGCATGTTTGGTGCGACGGGGATTCGAACCCGCGACCCGCAGATTGCGAGTCGAGTTCCCTAACCACCTGGCCATGCCGGGCCCCATAAGGCAAGAACGCTAGCGTTAAAAATTGACTAGTACATGTATTCAAATAGACAGGAGGATAAATATATATATATATACGTTTTGTTGTATGCTGGTGAAGAATAAGCAAGAATGAACTTAGTTACTTAGAAGTTAAAAGTAACTGGTAACCTGAAATATCTCAGATTTTAAAATGTACATGTCATTGCTATTTAGTACCCATACCCATACACGTTTAATTAATTCAAGGTATATCATAATAAACGACATTTATTTTGCTTAGAACGTCAATGTTAATTAGAATTCTAATTAAAAACAAAACATCTCAAGCGGCTCTTTGAATTTAATTGCCTTGTTTCTTCTAAAGTTGGTTAAAAAATCACAGCTAATCATTTATTTGTTTTAAAAAGCACTACAAACAAAATATCTCTTAAAGCCACATCAGCAAGGCATTCATTGTGGTGTTAATTTCGCTCGCTTTTTTTTTTTTATTAAACAATAAGACGACAAATTTTGGTCTTATGGAAGCCTTATGCAACGACTTTTAACCTAAGCTGCATTTGACAGTTTCATTCATTTACCACAAGAGTAGGGTGGGCGCTTCAAGATCTTTGTTAATGACACAGTAGGAGCACGTGCTAAGTGCCCTAAGCTCGAGTTCTTGCGACACCTGCAATTGAGCACATGTTTATGGTATGCTTCCTAACTAACCCAGCGTGCACCATCTGGCAAAGTCATATTGATGAAGACTCTTCATTATAAATAGAAAGGTAACCATTGTTTCTTTTTTTTTCTAAAAAGAGACTTAACTCTTTAATTCAACTATTTTTAAAGGTGCGCTAATTATCTGATTTTCTTAATTACAAGGCCTCTTAGAAAGAATTTAACTTTCCTGAACTATCTAATTATAGATCTTTATAGTGATCAGATTCATTCATCAGAAGGAAAAAATTCCATCCGTTTAGGTCCTGTAATTACTAATTTTAATTAGGTGCATATTCATTTGATTCTTCCTACGTAAGATATCTATTTTTTGTGATGTTATTTTTGAATCTAAGATCAAAATTTACCCTCCTTTTTATTAATGCTGGAATTATTTGCAAATTAAACTATTTTTCTCACGCAGTAGTGAGGTTAACTTCTGTTTTAAGAATATATACGCTGAGTGTGTTTTGAATTTCTCTAACCGTCCTTAATTTTGAAGTGATAGATAAACTAGAGAGAAGGCAATTATTGGAATTTTCTTTATCATCGAATAGTGGAATTAACACTCACATTATAACGCCCCTTCGGCTGAAAGAGCGAGCATGTTCAGTGACGTGATTCGTTCCCGCGACCTGCAGAATGCGAGTCGATTGTTCTAACTGCCAGGTTTATATGATGACAACTCATGAAAGATTGATTTTTATTTTTTCCGACAGTGTGGTATTAGAACTTTATTTTTGTGACACGCTAACATGCTCAAATATACATATTATATTACTGAAACTAAATCTGTTGTAGAAAGCGACATATTGACTTTTCGTCTTTAAATATTTTAAAATTATTGTTCAAATAAATAAGCATCTAGACCTCTTAATGCCTTAGATGCGTCCAAACGGAAATAAGGGACATCGTTAACAAACCAGAGGTTCCCCACGGTGTTGTAGTAATGATTAAAATATATGGAAAAGTCTTAGTATTTAAACCAAAACTTGTCGAAAAACCGTTTCCAGGTGGTTCCTGTCCTAACACACTTTGTTGGAAACAAATGTAATTAATAGATCAATAATAATTTCTAGTATTTGTCAAAAATCTTGAGTTAAAATTACGTAACTGGATAGAATATACAAATTCGTCAGTTATAAAACTTTCAAAGACTACAGATTTTCTTGAGGGAAATTATAAAGTTACATATCAAAACGTTTATTTTTGAGGATGTTTTCTTCTGCTATTTCTTTATTTTCTGCTCTTAACTCATTGCAAAAAAATAAATAAACAAGCGCTAATTGTGACATAAGTACGGTCATTTTTAATTAGTAGTGGATGATAACTACCTTTGCACATTCGTCATGAGTGCATAATATGCAGCCATAAGGTAACGCTTTTCCTTTTGTGAATCATTGAACAGAGTCTGATTAACTTTTTGTAAGCTAACATAACAGATCGTGACGAAATTTAATGAAATGGAATTGCAAGTTTCAAAGGTGTTAATTCTCATTACTAAGTTACCAAATTTGCTATGTCTATTGGAAATTACGCCGTAATCAATTATTTAAAGTTTTATTGGACTTGCAATTTAGAAGTACATTACTCTTGAAAGCAATAACGTTAAAGTCTAAATATTCTAAAACTTCTCAAATAAAAAGGGTTTTTTACATGTACATCCTCATTATCCCAAAACCACGTTGTTATACAAAAATAATTATATAATTTGCTATACAGATATGGTCTAAAGAAAAAAGTCCCTGTTTTTATCGCCGTCATAACGTTACAGGTTAATAGTTGGATAAACGATCACTGTTCTCTGTATGACTACCTGAATAATAATGATTGATATTGATTTCTGTATTATCATCACCTTAATACTACCAATCGTTTAATGAACCATTATCTTTTTCCTGACTTAAGAATTATTACGTCTACATAAAGTTGAATAATCTATTGCCTATTTTCTGTGTCATTACTAAAATACAACTTTGTTTTTTTTCTCTTGGTGCTATCTTAAACAATGAGCATAGCAATATGGGCAAGTTGAGTTGTTCCTGCTTGTTTCCATACAAAAGATTCAATACAACTCAAATAAGTTACGACATATCTTTCTTTTTAAGTAAAAGTATGAACGCGTGAATTTTCAAAAACAGAAAACTATTTATATTTCACAAAAAGCAAAAACCTTTGTTAATGGATTTAAAATGTCAGACATACAAAATATGATTATGTGTAATTTGTGTACAGACAAATCCTTTTAATATGTTATAAAAGCGATTTTAAAAAATGTAAATAAACTGAAATCAATTAAGGCTATTACACAATTTAATCGTTTCTTAAGCTGACTTATTCTTCTTGATTGGGAAATATATGTTACACGTTGTAACGAATTTGTTGTTATATATTTATTTAATGTCAACGTTTCTTTGGATTGAGTTTATAGTTAAAAACATGCCTAGCTTATAGTGTTAGATATGTATTG